CCGCGTCGGGGTGCGACCTGCTGGTCTCGATGGCCGTCCTGCTGGGCTGAGCCGCCGCCGGGCGCTTCCGCGCTGGCCGACGGCGCCGCGCGGCGGGCGCGGGGGGGTCCCTCACCAGGATCGGGCTCTCGAGCACGTGGGCCCTTGCCGTCTCGCGAGCGCTGCCAGGCGGCGGCGAGGGCGTCGAGGGTGTTGGACCAGGGCTCGAGCTCCGACCTGTTCCTCGAGGGAGGATCGCCTGGGTTGAGCTCGGAGACGACCCAGCGGAGATCCGCCATAACATCAGCTCTGAGGGCCACTGCACAGAATTGCCGGACAGGTCGCACGAGGCCTGGAGCCGAGGTGCGGCCCTTGAGCAGAGCTAAGATGGAGACCATGCTGTCACTGATGATCAAGAATAAGTGAGACCTGTTCGAGACGGATTTTGTTAGATGCCGAATACACCAAACCAAAGTGCGGCACTCCAGGGCGGTGATGTGCTCTCGGCGCTGCCATTTCTTGCGATGCAAGATCTTCCAAGAGCCCCCCGGGAGCCCACGACTTTCGCCCTCCCCCGAGATCGGCAGGTTGGGCACGAGCCCCTCGTCCGCGAAGCTCAGCTCCAAGAACTCACCTGAAGGCAGCGCCCCGCCGAGAGCCTCCTCCAGCGCCCCCGCCCCGGCAGATCGCGAGGCCCCCTGGCACCGCCAGCGCCCCGAGTACTGCGAGAGGCCCCGAATCACCCCCAAGGAGAGGGACTTGTGCGAGACCCCTTTCCCACACATCGAGGCGTCACAGGCCGGGGCCCTGGGGCTGAAAGGCTTGGCCAGATCATGGACGAGGAGAGGCAGCAAAGACTGGATCCAGCGGAGCTCCCTGGCGACCGACGGCCAGAACGGAGCTGAGTCCTCGGGATGCTTAGCCACGAAAGCGTACACCGCGTTGAGGCAGCAGAGGGTTTCTCTTTTCACCAGCGCCATAGAGACACTGTGTCCGACAAGCCGAGAAAGCTGACGCCCAGCCCCCTGGCGGCGCTCAAGTGCGTGAAAAAGTGCAAGCCATAGGCGCCAGACGCGACGTCGCTCTGGCACAATGCACCCATCAACTCGGCGGAATTCCCAGCCCAAGGCCTCGAGAACATCTGGATCAAATCTTTTATCATGAACGATGAGACCCCTCTCCTCCATGATGTTGTTGATTTTTGTTTGGACGGACCTCCCCTTCTCCACCTCGGTACTTATGGTAATGATGTTGTCCACATAATGTATAACCGCCCCCTCCTCCAACTGCGGAATGACCTCCCGACCCGTGATCAGGAAGTGGTGCTTATCTGGGATCGCCTCCTGGATCATAGAAGTGGCAACATACTGACAGACATTGACAGCGTGCGACCACCCCATAGGTACTGCCCTGAACCGCGGGTAAACGCGAGTAGCAGGATCCACCGGGACCCCAGACACCTCCGAGATCTGCAAGTCCTTGGCACTGAGGGGCTCCATGGTGAAATACCTCCGAAGGGGGTCGGGGAGTTCCACAGCGCAAAAAGGCATCCTTCAAATCCGAGGAAAACATCTGCAACAGACTTTCCCCCTGGAGCCCCAACCTCGAAAAAGCGTTAGCCGTGGGGAGGTCGGGCGACTCGGGGACCTCAAAACTACAATTGGAAATCCGAGCGTCCAGGATGAGGCGTTGCTTCACCCCGTCCGACTTCCAAACCGCAAAGATCCCCGTTCGGACTCCATCCGTTAAACTGAACTCGACGAGCCCCGCGGCCTGAAGGCGAGCCACGAGAGACTTGTACACCCTTTTAGAACGCAGACGTGGGTCACTGTACGGCCTAACCAGACCAGCTTCCTCACGATTTCTTTGCTGCAGCTCCTTAGGCAAAACTATATCACATAAAATCCTCCTGATGAACTCAGCGCCGCGAGCCCCCAAACGGTCGCCCAGGGGCCGCGGCTGGAAGCCAGGCTGTGGGAATGACAGCTTGTCCACATCAAGAGGAGCGAGGTGGCACGGAATCCCAGCGTAGTCTTCGACCCCCTGGAGCTCACTGAAGGCCCTCCGAGGATCAAGCCCCTTCTGGTGGGCAGCCCATGCGCCGCACCCGAGAGGTTTAAAAAGTATGCTCAGCAGGCGATAGAAGCGAGGCCTGGCCCTCAGCCGGCTCAGGAAGGCCATCACCTCGCTCGAGTTCCGCGAGTGCACGGCCAAGGGCAGCAACCTTCTCGCCAACGCGCCCCCTTCTCCTGAAGCGTCGCTGGACCGCCAGGCACCCTCGAAGCTGCGAAGCCCCAAGAGCAGAATCAACCGCCTTCGCTGCCGCGTCACTGGCTGCAATGGCGCGGCCCCCCTCCCGCGAAGCCGACCAGGCGCGAGGGAAAGCCTGGCCAACGCTCATCATCATCCTCGCCGCCGCAAGGCGCGCTCCTCACGCGCCTTGCGGGATTGCTTGTCAATTGCACTCTGCCGCTCCAGGTCCTTCGACGTGTACGTGATCAGCTCAGGGGCGATCATGAGGTTGCCCTGACTCTGGTGGGACCCCAGCATGACCGTCTGCTCCTCCATGTCCACTCCCGTCTTGGAGCTGGTCGCCCCCTCCTGACGGGTACGCTCTCGATGATAGTACTCGATCAGCTGGGCTGGGCGCAGCAGGTGCTCCATCGATGCCAAGTTGACCAGATCGAGTTGATCATACTCCGCGCCTGTCTGCACCGCGCGCAGCACCGCCTCGTGGAACGAGACCCCGTAGTCGTCGCTGTTCAGCTTGGCCGTGGACTTCCACCACTCGTGATGCGCCAGGGGCCCGTTCCTCCGCCTTAGGAAGTCCAGGCACCAGCGCGTGGTCCTCGGGCCTGGGATGTGCGTCTCCCAGTCCGCGAAGCTCACGAGCTCCATCTTCTCGACCGCGTCGCTGAAGTCCCGCTTGCGCTGGCCCCCCGCATTCTTGATAGGCAGGGTCCGCGCGTCGCCGTCGTCCTCCGTCTCGATGCGGAACTTCTTCTTGACGTCGGCCAGATCAGCAGCCGGGCACCTGACGCAGAAGACCCGCTTCTTTACGCCCTCGTGCACGTAGAAGTGGATCGCCCTGTCGCCGCTGATGACCGCGTCTTCGTTGAGGCGAACGACGCTGCCCCCCTTGATGCCAGGCGCCTCCTCGATAGCATACCACTGGTCGGCATTGCCAGCGGGAGCGCCTCCACCGCGGGCAGCCTCGGAGCGTGCCAACAGCCTGGCCTCCTCACGAAGGCCCTGCAGGCGGGCTCCCTCCGGCTCCCGGCGGAACTGATAGACGTTTTGCGGGTCGACGCCGTGGGCCCCCCCGCCGCGGCGATCGGACAGGCGGAAGCCCTCGATGTCCTCGTTGTGGCGGCTGAAGTCCTCCATGTACACGTCACTGTCAGGCGTCGCGATGATCCAATCAGTCGCCGAAACGCCCACCTTCTCCAGTAAGTCTTTCGTGCCATATGGGATGACCCGCGTACTTCACGAACACTCTCGTGCCCCGCTCCATGGTGCTTGGCTGGCTTCACGACCTGAGGCGGTACGCGTACAGGTTCAGCTGGGGCAAATGGCTGCGCAGGAGCAGCCTCGTGAACAGCACGACGAGCCGTCCGTCTCTCGAAAAATCCAGGCAGCTGAAGCCAGATGATCTGGAAGAAAACGGTGGACACCACGCCGCAGCAACAACCTGAGAGGAAGATCAGCGCCGCCCCGAGAGCGATGATGACAGCCACTAAGATGCCCTCAGAGGTGTACGAACCGTTCAAACTCGCAGTCCAACCAAAGCAGTAGAACGGGGCCTCAAGAGCTTCTCTCTGACAGGAGCCGGCTGTGGTGAGAGCGGGCCACCAAGAAGACATAAAGTTGCGGCTTGAGCCCACACAGCTACAGAACAAAGAGGGGATCGCACCGTTCTATCAAACTTCACAAGAAACACGTGCTGACACTGATTCAATATATATATATATATATATATATATATGTATATATATATATATATATCATGGAGGGCGGGTGGTTTTCAAACTGTGCCTCTCGCCCTAGCGCCCCGTACATTCGTCTTAACAAATTGCAAAAGTTTCACGGATGGAGGGCGAGCCGTTTTCAACATGTGGCTCTCGCCTGCGTGCCGCGCACACTCGTCTTGAATCGTGCAAAGAATTTCACGGATTGGCGGCGAATTGCTTCAAACTGTGGCTCTTGCCTTCGCGCCTCGCGCAGTCGTCTTCAAAATTGCAAGACCTTCACGGATCGAGGGCAGGCCGTCTTCAAATGGGGCTATCGCCTTAGCGCCGCGCACACTCGTCGTAAACATTTGCAACAGCTTCACCGGTTGAGGGCGGGTGGTTTTCAAAATATGGCTCTCGCCTTCGCGCCGCGCACATTCGGTGTAAACATCTGCAAGAGCTTCACGGATTGAGGGCGGGCCGTCTTCAAAATGTGGTTTCGACCTCAGCGCCGCGCACAGTTGTTCAAATTAATTGCAAAAGATTCACAGATTAAGGGCGGCTCCTTTTCAGAATGTGGCTCCCGTCTAAGCGCCACGCACACCGTTCCACAAATTGCCGAGGTTCCACGGACTCCCATGGTTCACGTACCTCAAGTTGCGTTTTAGATCAATTCAGGATTGTCAGGGCGCAACCGTTTCGTTGATTCGCGGTGATGCAATCCCAGGAGCGGTGTTCTGGCACGGTTCAGGACCCGATCGTCAGACACAACAGTGAGGCTGACTCGTGGCGTTGGACTCCCGAGTCTGGTGTTTTGGCACGCTTCAAGATCTTACAACGGTCGTCTCCGAACGGGGCATTTCACTCAGTGGGAATGAACCCTTGTATGGGGCCTACGAAGAGGAAGCATTACAATGACATTGATGGGTCTACGGCTTACACTGGTCCTCCTCCTCCTGCTCCTCCCCCTCCTCCTCCTCCTCCTTGTTCTCCTTCTCCAGAGACTCTCCTGAATCCCGACTCGTTCCTCCTTCAGCGTCTTCGCTATTTGCTTACCCTCCCCGCCCGAGCCTCCGAGGTCCAGGAGCTGCCGGCAGCAGAATCGACGGGATCGGCGACCGTGGCGACGCTGCTCCCGTTGCTGGGCGAAGACGACGTGTGACGGCCTTCGGTCGGATGGAAATTGCAGAAAAAAGGGGGACAGAGACCGACAGCCCATTTCGAGCAGGAGTTGCTGTTGGTGCCATTGCGACTGGTGCCCACTTGAAACAACAATTCAGCTGCCCAGCGACCGTTGTTGGTTTTGGACCACTGGCGCCGTTGGGCAATCCACCCCTTTTTTTCCGAACCCAATCCGGGTCTGCTGAGGCCTGGCCCAGCGGTGGCGCCGACGCTGCTTCCGGCGGCGGCCAGGATCGGGGCAGCTGGCCTCTCGGGGGGGCGTCCAACAGGGGGGGCTCCAAGAGGGGGGGTCGCAAATCATGCCCCGAGGCATGCGAGCATGGGTGGGACTAGGGGAGCGTTCAAAGAAGAAGAAGAAGAAGAATAATAGCAAGAAAATGCTGATGAAGAAGAAGAAGAAAAGAAAGAGCCATGAAATCTGGGGAGATACCAGGGCCCCGGCCATGGCATCCCCCCCGCACAGTCCCGACCCCATCGTGGACGCCCCCGAGCCTCGCGAGGGCGGCGGCGGCGGGGAATGCTGGGAGCGTGGCCGGCTCCGCCGCGAAGGCGCCCGCCGCGGCGTGGCGCGACGCCGGCTGCGCAGCGCGGGCGCGCGCGGCCGCCGCGGCGAAGGCCCGCGCGGGCAGCACGACCACGCGCGGCGCGCCACGCAGCGGCGGCGCGCCAGCGGCGCGGACTAGGCAGCCTCTCGCCGCGGCTGGCCAGGCCCGGACCAGCCCCGCGCCCCCGGCGCGGGCCGCGCCCGCATCGGGGGGCGCCGCCCTCAGGACCGCCGCGGCGGGGGCGGCAGGCAGCCCCGCGGAAGGCAGCGCGGGCACCTAGTACGAGAATCATGTTCTACTATGATTGGTTCAGGCTGCGTCCCAGGAGTTCCAGAGAGTATCTAGCGGCCCTCGCTTCAGGAGCCAACGCAGAAGAATAGGAAATCTTGAGAGTCTGGGCAATCCTGGAGCGCATCACGATCATGCTTCCTGCTCCTCTGAGCACCGGCGCCGGCGGCGGCGGGGAGAGCGCGCCGGAGCAACCCCGCCACCGCTCGCCCTCGCCACACTGGCCCCAGGGCCCCGCGTCGCACGCGGGGCGCTGCGGCCGGGCGGCGTCGGGCACGCCGCCAGACTGCACCGGGGTCGGGCCCGCGGGGGTCGCCATGTCGACCCACTCGGCGGCGGCGCCCGCCAGGCGGCAGGGGCCCCCGTCGAGCTCCAGCATCAGCTCCTGGCGGCTGAGCAGCAGCTGGCGGCGCCAGCCGAACTTCTGCATGCCCACGTCGGCGAGGTCCCGCTCCTACAGGCAACCACCAATGTAAACCCCAGCCCGTAAGACTTCTGGAAAACTGGCTGAGGCTTAGAATTTGCAGGATGTCTGCAGCCAAAGAGAGCCCAGCGGGGGTGTCCGATACCCCAGCGTCGAATAAGCATGTCGTGGTGAGGTTCGCAAGTGGCCGCAAAGCTCCGTGAGGCTTCGGAGGACCTGGCCGTTAATGGCGCCGTCCCGCAGCAGCTCGACGGCCTCCGGCGGCAGCGGCGTGAAGGAGGCGGCCCAGAGGGCGACGTGCTCCACCGACCAGTCGGACAGCTTCGGCGGGCGGCCCTCAGCCCCCAGATGTCCAGCGCCTTGATTCTTCCAACGCGGGGGGACCAGGGAGTCCCGACCCTTTCTCTCGGGCGCGATTTTCATCCCGAGTCCTCTGATCGAGGGTCCCAGGGCCTGTAGGGACGGCCCTCGGAGGCCGAAGGCAGGGAAAAACCTGCACCCTGATTCGAGTCAATGCGCTGGAGGTCTGAGGCCTCCGCCGACCCGCCATGGCTGGCGGCTGGCCGCGGCGTGGCCGCGCCCGCGCACGCGGCGTCGGCGCGCGGGGCCCCGCCGGCGATCGCCACGGCCTGCCGCGCCGCGAGGCCGTCCGGCCGCGTGCCGTGGCCAGCGGCCGCGGCCGCGGCCGCGGCCTCGGCTGGCCGCGGCGTGGCCACGCACGGGCCGACGGCGCCGGCGGGCGGGACCCCGCCGGCAGCCAGCGCGGCCTCTCCACCGCCAGGACAAAGTCCGCAAATCCGCTTCGGGGTTGCGCTCGTGGACCTCGCGGAGATGGGGGAGACCTGCCCGTTCCTGGAGGCGGGAGAGTAGCCACATTCACCGCCCCTCGAGGTCCCCAGACACAACTCCGAAGCAGTGGATGTGGACGTGATCTGGCGGTGGAGCCTCCAGCCGCGCCCCGAGGGCCTCCAGTCGCTGCTCGAGCTCCTGTGTGTCAAGGCTGCCCGGAAAACTCTTGGAGTGGTCCGCGCAGACTTCTTGGGCTGGCGCTGGCCCCTCTTCGCGGCGCCTCAGGCGCCGCCTCTGGCGCGCAGCGCGAGCCAGGGGAGAGGGACCCAGCGCCGATCTACAAAATCCGCGCGGACCTCCGAATGTTCGTTGATGCCTGAAATGGCAATGATCAGGGCCTGTCTGCCCTCAACGTCCAACGAATACTTAGCTCGAGAAGTTCAACCCGCAATGATAAGAAACAGGACCACTCAAGATACCTGACCAGGGGATCAGCAAGCTCGTCTCACTAAACCAGAACAGCTGTGCGCAGCATGACGAGCAACCTGACGCAAGACATGACGCCAGGGCAAGATGGCTGCTCCCTGGGAAAAGTTACAACTGCGCCGATCCAAGAAACTCAGATGTCCGAGATCTTGGCTTTTTTAAACGCGGGGCCCTTTGAAGTCCCGAACCTTTCCCAAGGACCAGATTTTCATCCGAAGTAGGTTTCTGGCGGCCCTGGGCCCGGCCCAGCAACGGCCCCCACGGGCTGGAAACAGCGAAAAGCCTCCAGCTTGATTTTTATACAAGGCGTTGGAGGTCTGGAGCCACTTGTTCCTCTCCGATCCTCGGCGCAGACCCTTGGCGGCATCGGCCCATCCCCACGGGCGCGGGGCTCGCGGGGCCCGGCTCTGAGGTGGGCGGCGGCGGCGCACCTGGGCGTGAGCAGCATCGCCCCGCCTCCGCAGTGCAGGAGCACGTCGCGGCTACCGCCCCTCGAAGACTCCGAGCTAGAGCAGCTACCACAGGGAAAGGCGGAGGAAGAGGAGGAGGAGGAGGAGGAGCAAGACTGACGCCTCGAGCGCCCGCTCCCGCGGCATGCCTTGGCAAAACGAGCAGCAGGAGGAGGAGCAGGCTGCGGCAGGCAGCAGCAGGCAGCAGGCAGCAGCAACGGGAGAGTGTGGGTTGAAATGGCATACTATGGACCGAACCAACAGGAATTGCAAAGGATGAGGGCCAAGGGACAGAGTATTCAGGCTGATCTGGTTGTCAATCACGTTTCGGAGGGCTTCTGGACTCAGTCTAGGCTGTTTGAAGAGAGGAGTGGACTATGTGAGCTGTGTCAGTGATGCGGAGCCGCCAGAGGAATCATCAGGCACCGCATTATGCACTGTTGCGGTGGTCTGGCTGCTTGACGGCTTGGCCTTACCAAGACTTTCAGGAAGTGGTCGAGATCGATCACGATGCTGGAGAGTGTCCGTTTGTGGAGTACGGTATAAGACCACCACCATCGCACCCCCCGTGGTGTCCAGGAAATGCCACCCCTGCCACCCTGTGAGCCCGAAACGAATAGGGGGACCACCCCCATCGCACCCCCATGTGGTGTCGCCACGTCCTGCGAGTCCTACGCGTGTGTGTGTGTGTTGTGTCGCGTGCGTGCCGTGTGGGCGACTCGGTCTTCGTCTGTGTGTCCTGCGTATGTGTATGAGGTTGATGATGATGATGATATACACATACATACATACATACATACATACATACATACATACATACATACATACATATATATATATATATATATATATATATATATGTGTATTGTATAAGTGTGTGTGTGTGCGTGTGTGTGTGGGAGTGTGAGTGTGTGTGTGTGCGAGTGTGTGTGTGTGTGAGTGCGTGCGGTTGCGTGTGTGTAACTGTGTGTGTGCGTGTGTATGTGTTGTGTGTTGTGGTTTGTGAGTTGTGAGCTGTGTGGTGTGTGTTGTGTGGTGTGTGGTGTGCGCTGTGTGTTCTGTAACCTGTGTTATGTTGTGCGGGTTGTGTGTTGTGAATCATGTGTGGCGTGTGCTGTGTGTTGTGTGCTGTGTGGTGTGTGTTGTGTGTTGTGGGTCGTGTGTTGTGTGTTCTGGGCTGTGTGTTACGTTGTGTGTTGTGTTGTGTGTTGCGGGTTGTGTGGTGTGTGAGTGATGTGTGTGGCGTGTGCTGTGTGTTGTGTTTTGTGTGTTGTGTGGTGTGTGTGTTCTATATTGTGGGCTGTGTGTTGTGTGCTGTGTGTTGTGTGTTGTGTGCTGTGTGTTGTGTTGCGGATTGTGTGTTGTATGGTGTGTGTCGTGCGTTGGGTGTTGTGTGTTGCGGGTTGTGTGCTGTGTGCTGTGTGTGTGGTGTGTTGTGTGTGTGTGTGTCTGTGTGTCGGTGTGTGTGTGTGTGTGTGCGGCTGCATGTGGCCGCGTGTCTCATGTCAATGCCGCGCATGTGATGCATGCGTCTGGTAGGCGACGCTGGCGGGGTGCAAGGAGGAGGAGGAGGAGGAGGAGGAGAATGACAGGGGAGGAGTTGAGGAGGAGGGTGTGTGTGCGTGTGAGAAGCGCGGGTACGACGCGGGTGGGAGAGAAAACCAGAAATCCACTAAGCATGAGGGGACCTAGAATAATGCTCACCAGCATGCGCTCGCATAATGAGCGGCATCACGCGGTGACTGGCCACGAAAAAGCCAATGCGTGACCCAGCCTCTGAAGTTAAACATGTTGGGGCGCCACGTCTCACAACCTGTCCTCCGAAACGCGTTGGGACAGTTCCTTGTGTCAAAAGCTCGGGAGCCATGTTCAAGTCACCCCTCCCGTGAGTGTGGACCAGGTGTTGTCCTACATGCACACGAGCAAAAAAAACGGGCAGTGCCGAGGTGGAAATGGTAAGCTTCTCGATTGCACCCGAGAAAGATCCATCAAACGACGCAAACAACAGGCGCTCTAACGAGGTAAACTTAAGGGAGCCGCATGATGTACATTGCGAGCCCTCTTTGCGGGGCCTCGACAGCCATTGGTGCTACCCACCAGATGGTGCCCCCCCCTTACCTGAGCCAGTCCCGTCGCCCGCCCCCGATGTGTCACCTCTGCTGCCAGGGAGGCCGCCTTCGCCGCCTCCTCTACCAAGGGATCGGCCCCCCCTTCTTATCAGGGACAGGTTTGTCCTCTTTGGATGGGAAGCGTCGGCTGGGCCTCTTTGATTTTCAATTATTGCTCCAGCTGGCGGCGCAGCCCCCCTTTGAGCAAGAAAGACAGCCTCCGTCCCAGCAGGCTCAGGGGGCCTGGAGGGGGGACGCCGGCTGAAGTTGGGTCTGGGGTTCCGCTGGCATTGGCAACGATATGACCAGGTGTGCCTACTTCTTGCACAAAGTGAGTCAAACGACCCTTACAATTCGTTGACATCACAGGTGTGGTTGGCAGCCTACTGCCGCGAATTTGGGCGACTTCAATGGCTGTGGCTGGAACCGCGGCTGGGTTTGCGCCCGCGGCCTGCGGTCCATGTACCTCGATGGCGCCGAGATCATCGTCAGAGGCTTCGCCCTTCTTCAGCTCAGACACTTTCGAGACTGCGGTGGCTAAGCCTTTTTGCTCAGCATCCTCAAGCAAACTGCAAATTCCCGACCTCTGAGTACACAAAGATTCAATCGGGGGCCTGGTGGGGGTTAGATCGCAGCGGAGAGGAGACCCCCAACCGGGAAATCGTTTCGTTTCGTTCGTGTCGCGCGCGCGGGCGAGGCGAAGCTGCGTGGGCGCGCGAGAGGAATGAACCCGCCGCTGCTATTGCGAAATCAAGACAAATGATTGTCACCCCCCCGCCCGTCCGGCGGTGGCCCGCGGTGCCCCGTGCTGTCCTGCGGTGTCCCGTGGTGCCCGCCGCTGCTAAGGCGAAATCAAGACAAATGCGTATCCCCCTCCCGCCCGTCCAGCGAAGGCTGGCGGTGCCCCGCGGTGTGAGTACAGGGAGACGGCCGATGGGGCCGTTCCTATACGGGGTCCGTAGGTAGAGGCGAGGAGTAGGACTCCTTTTCCCAGGGCACCGCGCAGCATGCAGTGCACTGTAGTCGGTCAGCCAATACCTGAGCCAATACAGTTGCGGAAAAAGGGGTATAATAGAGAAGTGAGCAAACTTCACACACACACACGCACAAACACACACACACACACACACACACTCCGTCCCGAAACCTGCCAGCTCCCGACGGCCTCGGGCCCACGGGAAACGACGGCAGGAATCGGGAACAAAGGTGTGAGGTCCACTCACAGCCTTGTCTTATCCACCGCCCCTCCAAACGAGGGTGCATTGGCTAGGAAGGTAAGACAAAGGACCAACCCCGCCACACGGGGTACTTGGCAGTGCCTACCCGACTTAGCGGGCCCAGAGTGCGCCCCCCAGAAAACGTTTCGGCACTCCTGGACGACACTCCGTCACCACAGGTGACAGGGATGGGAGAGCAAGGGATAGAGAGCAGAAGGGTGGTACCAACATCCCTCGAGCAGGTGTTGCCACCGACGCGGCGCGCGCGCAAAATAATACGGACCGGAGTTGCGACATCAATTCGATCAAAGCAAGAGGACTCTCGTTCATGGGGCTCTCCAGGCCCTAA